ATGGGCCTGTTTCCAGCCTTCTGGAGCCTCCAAGAGGCCCATTTTTCGCTCTTCCCGAGCCTCCGCATGGGCCCTGTGCTTACCTGGCATCCAAAACGGGCCATGTGGGGACTCCTGGGAGAGGCAAGGTGAGGGGGGCAGACAGTGGTGGGATTTACCGGTTCCTTCCAGCCTGCCTGCCTGTCTGCCTGCCTTCCTCTCTTATTTCCTTTCTCATTTTCCTTCCTGGTGGCACAGTGGTTAGAAAGCAGGATTGCAGGTTGACTCTGCTCACATCCAGTAGTTCAATCCTGACTGGCTCGAGGTTGACTCAGCCTTCCACCCTTCTGAGGTTGGTAAAATGAGGACCCAGATTATTCCTCCCTCCCTCCCTCTCTTATTCCCTTTCTCATTCTTCTTCCCGGTGGCACAGTGGATAGAATGCAGTATTGCAGGCTAAATCACTGCTCACTGCCAGGAGTTCAATCCTGACTGGCTCAAAGTTGACTCAGCCTTCTGTCCTTCCGAGGTCAGTAAAATGAGGACCCAGATTGTTGGGGGCAAGAGGCTGACTCTGTAAACCGCTTAGAGAGGGCGGTAAAGCACTATGAAGTGGTATATAAGTGCTATTGCTATAAATCACTTTTTCAACTGCTATTGTAACTTCAAAACAATCACTAAATGAATGTTCATAAGTCGAGAACTTCTTATAAAAAGCTTTCTCCTCCCAAATGATCTATGAATGAACTCCATTTTTCAGCTTTTTATGAAAGATAGTTTGACGTACTTTCGATCAGTAAAAACTTTATGTTCTTAATTCTTGCTTACCCTGGAATTGCAAGTAATTCATCCTGTGATGCACTTCCATTGTCTTCTGCAGGCTTTCAGAGAGATTGTCAACATCTTTCTGCAAGTTTTCCATTATGATGTCAAAATCAGGAATCTGATCCAGTGTGCCAGGTTGCAGAAACATGTGAGAAACTGTTTGCCTGGAAAAGAACAATAGGTCAACTATTACCATGTTTCCCCAAAAATAAGACCCTGTCATTCACACACACACACACACATATGTGTGTGTTTTCGTAGATTTTCTTACGAAAAAGCCAACCAATCTGCAAACACCAACTTCATCAACCAATCTAGAAATAACAACACAGCCAACCTCCCCACCAGTATTTATAGAGAGACGGCAGCTCCGATCATGCTTTGCTTGCACAAGCATGAAGCCGAAAGCACCAGCCTGAGGTGAGTGGGACCTCATCGAAATGCCGCCAAGATACTCTCAATCTTACACGGGAAAAGACCCGAACACGCCAAGACCTGCATGTGTGTGTGTGTGTGTGTGTGTGTGTGTGTGTGTGTGTGTGTTTGCCACCAAAAAAGGCACCAGGTCTTATTTTCAGGGGATGTCATCCACTGATTAACCTCACTTGTGTGCATCGCCCCTGGAAATACCTTAAGGAGTGAAATAGCAACAGCACTTAGACTTGTATACCGCTTCATAGGGCTTCACAGCCTTCTCTAAGCAGTTTACAAAGTCAGCCTTTTGACCCCCAACAATCTGGGTCCTCATTTTACTGACCTTGGATGGATGGAAGGCTGAGTCAACCTAGAGCCATGTTGGTGAACCTATGGCATGCATGCCGGAAGTGGCACGCAGACCCATTTTCCCCGGCATGTGAGAGGTCGCCCAGAAGAGCCCCACTGTGCATGCATGTGCGCCACTGCCTGACAGCTGATTGTCAGGTATCTGGCACGCATGCGCAGGGGGCGGGGAAGTGCATGGGAGATGCGTGCACATGCAAAGAGATGCACAGCACAGGTGGGTTGTCTCATGCACATGTGCAGAGATGCGCAGCGCACAAGGAGGGATTGCATACACAGAGACATGTGGCATGCAAGGGGGGCACAGGCGCAGGGGGCCTGGGGGGGGCAGCACGCTTTGCCTTCTGGGTACTGGCATGCAAGCGCACGCAAACGAGCACTCGTTCAATTATTGGCATGGGAGCTGAAAAAGGTTAGCCACCACTGACCTAGAGCCTGGTGGGATTTGAACTGCCAAATGGCAGTCAGCCGGCAGTCAGCAGAAGTAGCCTGCTGTACTGCACTCTAACCACTGCGCCATCAAGGCTCTTCCAGTTCTTCTGGAAAAATAAAATCAAACATAATGAACACAGGTAGTCCTAGACTTACAACAGTTCATTTAGTGACCGTTCGAAGTTACTGACTTATGACTGTCTTTTACACTTATGACCGCTGTGGTCTCCCTGTGATCACATGATCCAAATCTGGCCACTGCCTCGTATTTATGACAGTTGCAGTGTCCCAGGCTCATACGATCCCCTTTGCAACCTTCTGACAAGCAAAGTCAATGAGGAAGCCC